GCAATTCATCCTGGCTATATCATCAAATATTGTCACGGCAAGATAGCATACAGGAAAATATCTATTGGATACATTAAATTCCAAAAAAATAAAAAAATACGTCAATTCAACTTGTCACATGGTATGATGCATGGTGTTTCATCAACGTACAGTCCAACCCACAAGATGACATGTCCCTGGCATCCAATGCCCAACTAGCCATTATATTAGGATGAATGTATATTAAGTATAATCATCTCTTTTAATTATTATAATTTATGAGTATTTTATATTTTAGAGTGCTTTTTTATTTCTTTTTTAAACAGAGAACTCCCTTATGTAAGAGAAAGCTCCATAGATATCCAATAACATTCTTTTTGCAGCAACCATCAACGAATATGCAGAAGGCCTTCATCATATGATATTGATGGTAAGTTGATCAGCTGTTCTTTATTTTCTCTGGTGTTTGCGCTATTCTAGTTTCTCTTACATTATTACGATAATTATAACATGTAAAGAGAGAATACAAAAAGAATTAAACTCAATTGCTCAATTATGATGCTGTATAACAGTTTTATCATTTGTCTTCTTCTTCTTTTGTGATCTCTCTCACTGTTATGATTAGGAAAAGATAAAACAAAAAGAAATACAAAATCTCTGCACTCCTATATCAATAAGTATGTCAATATGTAATTGTGACAAACACATTTTCGGTTTGTTTACTTTTTTTGTATATCTTTTCTTTACTGAAGTTATTTCATTGAAACAATATGATTGAGATTCTTAACCCTTTTAGGATCAGTATTTTTATATTTATATACATATATATTTTTGTTTGCAATTTTATAAATTAATTTCTTATTATAAATATAATATTTCATATGATACTTCAAATAGTTAAAATTATTGATGTCATGAATAAATTAAGTTTCGTATGCCAAAGAATGGCTTGGTAAAATAATCGCATTATGTTTTCCTGCCGAGTGATGTTCTGAAGAAGAAGATGTAAGTATATTTTGGGATCCTGTTAAACAATTAAGTGCTTACAGGATATAGGATGGTGTGGGTTTTGAAGCACGATCTCACGAAAACATCAGTGAGCATCAACATGTTAAAGGACAAAATGTTATTATTTTTTTTTTTTATATATATTATTTCTTCAATAACGACTAATTTGGGGATTTTGTAATTAGTAAACTTGGCCCAGTAGAGTACAATAGTAATAGCTTTATTCAATTAAAAAGGGAGTCTATAGTAATTATATGCAGTGGATAAATGATTTATAAGGACAAGGACCGAACCCCCCCAACCGACTGATCCTAGCGAAACAATGGCTCCCGCAGTCCTTAGTTCTTGTAAGTTCTACGATGTAAACAAATTTCATTGAAAGTACATCTCTTCCTCCTGGACACTGTCGTTCGCGTAAGCTACAACTTTGATACCTTTCCCGTCCAATTCCCTCAATATGATATTAATTACCAGTAGCCATAGAAACGGCGAAAGCACCCCTCCTTGAGGTGTGCCTCTAGTTACCGTTTTCCTGATTTTGGTATCCCCCACACTTGAATTTAAAATTCTGCTGTTAAGCATTTTATCTATCCAATATGTCAGGGTATAAGGAATGCCAACTTCCCTAAGTGAGTGGTTTATGGATTCAAGTTTAACGTTGTTAAAGGCTCCCTCTATATCTAAGAAGGTGGCCAGCGTAAAATTTGAATTTTTCATGTTCCTCTCAATATAGCCTACCACTTCGTACAGTGCAGATTCCACAGTCTTGCCCGATTAGAGAAAACATTATGCTCTCATTTCGGTACAAGGTGCAAAACTTCAATTTCGATCGAAAAAATTGAGTCGTTGGTGCACAAATTGGTTGCTATAAATTAATCTGAACCGATTTCAACATATTCTATAATTCTTCTCTAATTTTTTTTAATATATAATTTAATTAATAATCCTACCTACATCTTATGAACATGTTATTTTCTTAAGACAATTTCGGCTAATAACTCAAATTATAATGTATTAAACTACAATTTAAATCAATACCACAACACGTGGAGATACTACCCTCCACCACTACCACTCTGATTGTTTCCAATCGTCCACAAATAATCTCCATTAACAAAAACCAAAAACATAAAAATCACAATACCTATACACCAATAACAACAAATTGAAACGAAGCCATTCAAATTGTCATGCGTGTATGTTTGTGTGTGTGTGTTTAATTAATAATGGATTTATGAATGACATATAAACTGGCCGGAGATTACTTGCCGCCCCATTCGTACAATATAGATGTGTATGTGTGTTACTTAGGTATGTGTAATACAACTTTTAGCCATTTATAAAATCATCCCCACCTGTATATAGAAAATATTATGGCTATGGAAAGGGATTCCAGAGAAACCCCACACAATTGACTTGTAATTGTAATTGACCAATCAACTAAAATATTCATAACTTGAAAGGTGGTTAGATTATTGTTTTGCTTTCTACGTTAAAGGGTGTTGTTAGGTTGGAGAAATACGAAATATATATTAGACTTCCCATATAATAGACTGCGAAATAATATTAAAGAGAAGCAGGAAGATACATTATAAATCATAAATATTTAAGAAATAAATTGATGAGAATCGGTTCAGATTAAGTTATAGTTCCTATGTATATTTTCGTCCATTTACACTGTGCGACAAGATTTTGGGGGTTGGACAATTCCTAATGGGGATGAAAACCCGTGGTGAGTATATGTAAAACACCAGAAGAAACCAGAAAAGAAAGTTCCCAGAAGAAACCAGAAAGAAAAGTTCGGACAAGGCCGACTATATGATACCCTTCACCAATGTGGGATAGATTATCATATGTACAATATCCTTTGGATAGAATAGACATAGCATCTTGGGGGGACCATTGAAATGGAATCGGACGAAATTAACGGCGTGAAGTACACAGATATTTTAACTAAATTAAAACAATCCATAAACATACCAATCTGAAATTTATGAAAAATTGACAAAGGCTCCTCCATTTGCATAAAGTCGGACAAAAATATCTGAATCGATTTCAACTTTATATATTTATATATATATATATATATATATGAGGTATATTTTGTCTCAATCGGACCAATTTTGGGAGTTTGGTGCATCATTTCCATAAAATCGGAAGAAATAATATATGGGAGCTATAATTAGATCTGAACCGATTTTAACACAACCTCTGTGCAAAATTTTGTCTCAATCGGACATAATTCGGACGAAAAAATATATGGGAGCTATATCTAAATCTGAACCGAGTTCAACAAAACTTGGCATGTATCAATCTAGACCTATGTCAGTACCTGTGTAAAATGTTGTCTCAATCGGATTAATGTTAGGAGTTTGGTGCACATTTACATAAAATCGGACGAAGCTTTATATGGGAGCTATATCTAGATGTGAACAAAACTTCGCATACATCAATCTGGACCTAAGTCAGTACTCTGTGCAAAATTTTGTCTCAATTGGACCAATATTAGGAGTTTGTTGCACCATTTACATAAAATCGGACCAATCTATATCTAAATCTGAACCGAGTTCAACAAAACTTGGCATGTATTAAATGTATTATTTTCGTCCATTTACACTGTGCGGCAATGTACAGTACTCTGTGCAAAATGTTGTCTCAATCGGACTAATATTGGAAGATTTGTGCACATTTACATAAAATCGGAGGAACTATATATGGGAACTATATCTAAATCTGGACCGATTTTCTCCAATAGGCTTCGTCCTTGGTCCAAATAAGTGACAGGCGTCAAATTTCATCCAAATCGGATCATAAATGCAACCTATACTTTTTTCACAAAAATACATGGACGGACGGACGGATATGCATAAATAGACTCAAAAAGTGATTATATGCATATTCTCAACAGGAAGCATAGGTCTATCTCTATTCCGTTTGCCTGTTACAAACATATGCACAAAGACATAATACCCTGTACCACAGTGTACAAAGAATTTGGTTGAAAAACGCGCTCTAGAACCCCAAAATACCGAAAATTGAGGGTAAATTTATATGAGGGTACCCTTATATATTTGATACCCAATAAGAACCCAACGTACAAAATTTCAGAGAATTCAGTTATAAAACGAGCTCAAGAACCTCAAAATATATAATTTTTAGTAGGGAGATTTGCTACCCAATAAAAACTCAAAGTTCCAAATTTCAGCGAATTCGGTCGAAAAATGCGATCAAAACCCTCAAAATACCGAAAATTGGGGGTACCCTTATATGGGGACTATCCGAAAAAATTGACCTATATTTATAATTTTTTGTGGGAAGATTTGCTACCCAATAAGAAGTCAAAGTACCAAATTTCATCAAATTCAGTTAAAAAACGCGCTAAATAACCTCAAAATACCCTTATATGGGTACCCTTATATGGGACCTATGGCTTAACGTGGACCGATTTTTTCCAATTTCAATAGGGTTCGTCCTTGGGCCAATTAAGTGACCTGTGCCAAATTTCATCCAAATCGGATCATAAATGCGACCTGTACTTTGTTAACAAAAATACATGGACAGACGGACGGACAGACGGACATGCATACATCGATTCATAAAGTGATTCTATGCACATTCTCAAAAGGAACCATGGGTCTATCTCGATTATTTTTGCATGTTACAAACATATGCACAAAGACATAATACCCTGTACCACACTGTGGTGAAGGGTATAAAAATAGATTGATGAGAATCGGTACAGATTTAGATATAGTTCTCATGTATATTTTCGTCCATTTACACTGTGCGACAAGATTTTGGGGGTGGCAAATTCCTATTGGGAACGAAATTCCTTAATGAGTATATGAAAACCCCAGAAGAAAAAAATCGCCACAAAACATGATTTTTTTTTCTGACGACCCTTTTATACAATAAGAGATAGCTTCATATCTTTATTGGTAACTATTAAATGTGTTTTTTTATAAGATCACATTTCGCTCATATTTTGCCTAAAAAAATATTCCATAGGTAAGTTAAGATCTTTTAGCTGGACAATTTGTAACCAATTTTCGGTCACGACACGTTAATGTTTCACGATCAAACCACTGGGACAAGGAACAATGTTGACGTTTGGTACGACCCCTTTGGCAAATATAGAAACGACGGCAATGTCGGGCATCGGTCAAGAAGACATTATCCGGCAGCGAAGCACAATCGTTTAATGACACAAGTGTATTGGCGGGCTTCAAGTGTTCCGGCGTTGGATCTGTAATCAAATGTTCAGGAATTGGTAGACATGTTGTGGTAGTAGTTGGACATTTCGTAATAGGTGGACACGGTGGACATTTTATAACAGGTGGACATTTGGTAGTACACTTGATAATTGATGGACAATTTTTAATAGGTGGACATGCAGTAGTAGTTGGACAAGTAGTGTTGTCAACAGGTACATTACCTCGATCCGGAAATGTTACATTGTTTTGTGTCACAGTAGTTGTATTAGTGTTAGTATTGGTATTATTTGGTTGAGTGTTTGTCATCCCTGCGCCGCTAAACAATAGTTTTAGAATTAATTCAAAATTATTGAAATAATTGCCCCCACTGCTAATACCAAGGCAGTCAACGTCATTGTTTAGCAGCAACCCAAGACAAAGGATACATATCGCTCCACCATATCCTATAACAAACAAATGTGTGTTAATTAATTTATTTTACAATACAAATAAAAAAATCCATATTCTTTATTTACCGAATACCATATTTTTTCCAAAGCGATGGGTATTTCATCAAAGAATTGTAAATTAACAAGCAAGTGTTACAAGTGTGTTGACTGTATATATACGATTTTTTCACTGGGAGTGGTTCATGGAAATGTTGTTATGAAATTTAACAACACACGTTTTACATTATCATCAAAGGGAAGAAAGAAATTAAATTTAAACTTTATTTAAATTATGGTACCTAGGGTGTGGTCCTAGGTAACGAAATTCAATTTTTCTGCTTATGTAAAAAATTTACAAAAATTGCTTAAGATAAAATAAAAAATGGGGGCTCCTATGGAAGGTAGAAGAAGACGTTAAATAACATTTGAGTAATTTAAGAGAGAAGTAGGTATTTTTGGAGTATTGCAAGATAGAATCAGATAAGACCTTGAACATACCGAAAATAACGTGTAGCCTTTGTATGTCCACAAAAAAAAATAATTCCTATATTATATGAATAGTGTTCAGAAAATGTTGACAATGTCCGGATTTCAGCATTTTATGAATATAATTCATAAAACTTTTAATGCTGGTTTCTTGTCAGAAGATGTGACAGAACTATTTGTCGTTTTAACCTTTTTATTTTGATTTTATGATTTCTTCATCTTTGTTATGTCTTGTCACGTTTCTTCTTACTTGCATTTCCATGTTCTGCGTCATTGGAACAATCATATACAATGTTAAACATTCGGTAGGGCTTGTTTTTCATATCAACAGGAAAATATTGTGACATTAATGAAATGCTTACATTTTTTGATAGAATATATATTTTTACTTCGGTACATGCCCAATATGCAAAACATTAATTATGAACGGTATTATGAAAATATTCATTAAATATTTATACCCTACACAAATATGTTGTCAAGGTATTATAGCTTTGTGCAGCCCCAAGAGTTTGTAACGCCGCGAATTATTGGTATAACGATCGTCATATCTCGACTAGCTGAGTCGATCTAGACATGTGTGTCCGTCCGTCCATTATAATTTGTAAACACGATACAGCCCACATTTATGGACCAATCGTCACGAAATTTTTCATGTAGGACTGTTTTTGGTAAAGATCGGTTAATATTTAGGGGATGAAATAAACCAAATACTTAATTTTGATAAAGATCGGTCAATATGGGCACTGACATTTGTGTGAAAAAGGGCAAAATTTGTATTCAATGGCGTATATATTTACCCCTGAAGGACATGGACCCGAGAAGTTGAAAGTGTATCCAAGAGGAGTGGTTGACTTTTAAATTGATACCAATTATATTGTCGTATGTACTCAGATGTGGGAGATACACTTATATGCAGGTATGTATTCATATATTATTTAGTAACCCATTTCCACACTAGAGGGCGAAAATATGGCACTAATCGCTTTGAAATTTTCCGTGAGTATCCAGGTATAGTCAAGGACAACACATATAATCATATCAGATAATAATATTGGGATGAAGTGGACCGAAAACTTAATTTTTGTGTTTATTTCAGTTGATCTATAGGCCACAATTGAAAGCCGAACATCACAACCCACGGTGAAGGGAATCTGGACAAGTAATTAGAAGGGCTGTACTGAATATTAATAATATTTGTTGACCTCTAGTCGGCCAAGAGGGTGAAAAAATCGTGAAATATTGCCCAAACTCAGAATATAGAACAATACAATGTTAGATTTTCGTGGAAGTTGTGTAGGGTATCGAATGGTCGGCCCCGTCCGACTATACTGCTCCGCTCACTGTTTTTTTATACTCTTCACCATACTAAGGTACAGGGTATTATATCCTTGTGAATATGTTCGTAACAAGCAAAAGGAAGCGAGATACACCCATGGTTCCCTTTAAAAATATACATAGAATCACTTTATTAGTCGATTTATGGATGTCCGTCCGTCCGTCCGTGTTGATGTTAAATTGTAAACAAAGTACATGTTGCATTTATAATCCAATTTGGATGAAATTTGGACAGATCATTTATATGGCTCAAGAACGAACCCTATAGAAAATTTGTGAAAATCGATTCAGATTTAGATTTTATATAAATGGTGTACCAAAGCCCCTATATTTATTTCGATTTGCACGAAATTTTGCCCCTATATTTCTTTCGATTTGCACAAAATTTCGCATTTCGCACTGAAGCAAATCTAGAATGATTTGTGCTAAGTTTCGTAAAAATCGGTTCAGATTTAGATATAGATCCCATATATATTTTCGCCGACTTTATATAAATCGTGTACCAAAGCCCCCTTGAATGATTTTTGCTAAGTATAGTGAAAATCGGTTCAAATTGACATATAGGTCCCATATATATTTTCGTCCGATTTAATGTAAATTGTGTATTAACGTCCCTGTATATCTTTCGATTTGCACGACATTCGGCATAGCGTTCTACATTAAAACTAAATTTCGCATTTCGTACTGATAAAATTTAGAATGATTTGTGCTAAGTTTCGTAAAAATCGGTTCAGATTTACATATAGTTCCCATATATACTTTCGCCGACTTTATATAAATGGTGTACCAAAGCCCCCTAGAATGATTTTTGCTAAGTTTCGTGAAACTTGGTTCATATTGACATATAGCTCCCATATATATATATATATATATATATATATATTCGTCCGATTTAATGTAAAAAAATGTATATCTTTCGATTTGCACGACATTTGGCATAGCGTTCTACATTAAAACTAAAATTATGTGTTAAGTTTCGTGAAAATCGGTTCAGATTTAGATAAAGCTCCCATATATATTTTTGTCGGATTTAATGCAAATGGTGTACCAAAGTCCCTGTATATATATATATATATTTGTACGAAATATTGTATAGTGTACTGAATTGAGTCCAGAATGATGTGTGTTTATTTTGCAAAGCGCACTGAAAAGAATCTAAAATCATCGAGAAAATCGCTTCAGATTTAAAATGACCCCCATATATATTTTCCTCCGATTTAATGTAAGTTGTGCATTTAAACCTCAAAGTTTGGCCGATTGGTACACAATTTTGTATAATATACAGAATTTAGTATAACCTTACATGTGTCAAGTTTTCTTGAAATCGGTAAAGATTTACATATATATTCGTCCGATTTCAAGTAAACGGTGCACTAAAGACCTATACCTAGGCCGATTGACACAACGTACTGAAGTTAATACAACATAAACTTTGGCAAGTTTCTCTGAAACCGGTTCAGATTTAGACATGCATAGCTTCCATATATAATTTCGACCTATTCATGTTAATTGTACACCCGATGGCGTCTGATTGAGTTAAATTTTAAATAGTTCAGCATACTTTGCTTTAAATCGATTTAGAAAATCGATCGATTTACAGAATGGCATGTGTAGGGATTAATGTTTGTCGGTTTATATATAGATAAAAATAACACATTTAAGTTCGTTAAATTTCATGTTAATGTTTCTTCGAAAAGTCGGCGTCTATGTAGGTGATACATATATCGAATATACCACAAGTGGTGAAGAATGTCATATAGTCGGCCCAGTCGGACTTTACCACTTTCCTAACAGGTTTATTTTCCAATTTTCCATCATGCCAATTTTGAATAGTTATTGCCATTTAGCTACAACCAACTACAAACATTCCAAGTACTTAGCAAAGTACTCACAAAAAGGCGTTTCCCTCTACTCGAAGATACCAATTGTAAAATAAAAAAAAATATATATAAAATGCTTCAAAACGAATGGAATACAAACGACCACTCCGACCATTTTGAACAAATGGAATATTTTCGAACAAATCAAATTGAAATGTAAAGGACAACGATTGGAGTAATTAGTTTGTTGTGAAATTATTTTCCTTCAATCAATTGAAGGTATTAGACATGAACCACAACACAGAAGTGCATAATTAAATATACAAGAAATTAGATTTGATTATATGTATAAGTGATTGATAAGTATTATTATATAAAAACTATTAATATAATTAGAAAACAACGCTGATAACAACTCACTAAGAAGATATTATAAAATGCCCATAACATGCGTGAATAGGCAGCACCATTATGTAAAGAGGACATTATAAAATTTCACATGCATTATGTTTCATGAGTAATATTTTTATACAATCTATTTGTGTGGACCGAAAATAGGGAATTTTCCAAAAATCTTATTTTATAAGTTCAATATTTTGTTAGTTTTTGTGTGATGGCGCTAGTTCAAATCAGAACCAGCCATGTACTGTTTTGAATGTAGTTGGCATTTTTGGATTTTTTCGAAAAGAAGGACATTTCTTCAATTACAAAAAACAACAAAATTATGTCATCTACATTTGTTATCCTTTAAGGGGACCCCCCCCCCATTCTCGGGGTCAAAATTTTTGTTGACTTAATTCCAATCTACACTAATTCAAGAATGTCCCTGCAAAATTTCAAGTAAAAATCTCAAGAACTCTTGAAGATATAGCCGATTTATTGTGTCAATATCAAGTGACGGCTGAAGGGCTTCTCAAACTTTAAACGCGTTTTTCTCTAAATGGCGGAATGGCGGGCACGATAACTCAAAAACTAATAACCCAATCGATTTCAAATTTTTACACGTTTCTCTGTGAGTGTATATCTATCGTATGAACTAGGATAAAGCCAATCGGTGAAGATCTTCCATATTTTTTAACTTGGTTTTTGGTAAAAAATCGGCGATTTTCCAAAAATATTTTTTCAAAGGTCCGCCATTTTGTTAATTTTAGAGCGAAGTCAATAATCCTAGTTCATACGAGAGCCAGACATGTACTCTTTCTAACACCGTTGAAATTTTCGGATTCCGATGTTT